GTGATCCTCTGTGGTCCCAGGTGACACGGTGATCCTCTGTGGTCCCAGGTGACATGATGATCCTCTATGGGCCCAGGTGACATGGTGATCCTCTATGGGCCCAGGTGACATGGTGATCCTCTGTGGTCCCAAGTGACATGGTGATCCTCTGTGGTCCCAGGTGACATGGTGATCCTCTGCGGTCCCAGATCACCTGGTGATCCTCTGTGGTCCCAAGTGACATGGTGATCATCCGTGGTCCCAGATTTGTTGCCCCTTAAATTGTAAGCTCCACAGGGGCAGGCCCTCCTTTGGATCCTACTGTCCTGGCGATGAGAGGAGGTAGAGAGCAGTCACTCAATAATTATTTAATAAGTTCAGTTGAAGCTGGATGTGACTTGACTTGTACTTCTTCGAGTGTGTGCGTGCGTGAGTGATTGCAAAGGTGGTCTCACCGGGAGAAGCACCCTGCAGCAAGTACCCTCTGGCTTCACTTTATCCTCTAAGTGCAGGTTGTAGACGGATAAGATCTCTATGTTGGCATCATCAATTTCAGTTCTCTGGTTTACTAAGAAAGCAGGGAACTCTTTCCCGGAATCTGAGAAAGCTCAGAGCTTAAAGGGAGACATTGCTCCTTCGAACAGGCTTGCATTTGTGACCATGCTCATACCTGTCCTTCGGTTGCTTTCCAAAATTATTCCCTTACATCCCAGCAGGTGTGCGCACTTCACCGAAGCCCTCGCTGTGTGTTCCCCCGAACCCCAGGGTGAGCCTCGTCTGCAGATTAAGCAAACACACTTAGAAGCTATACTCACTTTCCAGTGGTCTCTGATTTAGAAAGTTCTTGCTTTTGTGAATCCTACAGCCGCAGAACTATATATTTCTTAACGCTATCTCGTAGCATAAACAGAAAAAAAAAGTCTTAAATCAATATCACTGTGGGAAAATCCGTCCACATGAATATTTAAAGAGTGTGTTTTAACCTGTTTCTTCAATGTTTGGGTCTTGTTCTAACTTTCCCTCTGGCTTACACCCTTGCTTTTTATTTAGCAAAGTACAGACCGTGTTTTTGATCCGTTTGCATCGGACCTACCTATTTTCCACTCAGGATTGCGCAGGCACCCTCTGCAGCTTCCTCCCGCCACTGTCCTTGCACATGGCACACAGGACCGCTTTGTCAAGATAAAAGACGCGGGGACCCCTGGCCCTCTGAGTCTTTCTTCGTGTCACTCAATGTCTAACTGAGATTTCTTTCTAAATTTGGCAAATTACCTTTTATCTTAACTGGTTTGAAGACCCTCAACCAAGTTCTTTTAATAAACAGTGAATTCTTTAAAATAGGGCTGTTTTATTTTCCTTTAACGGGCTTTGTTGGTTAAAGAATACAGCCGAGTAAAAGCTCATTTTCTTCTGTGCACTGTCTGCCTTGGAACGTAACTGCTATTCAAAGTGAGAAGGGGGAGGAGAAACGTGTGTAAAGCGTTTTCTGACAAAGAAAAGCTCCATTGTTAGTTCTACACCATTAAATTATAAAGAATTATGGTCAAATTCCAAATGCCTGAATGCTAGGCCTTTTTTTTTTTATTGAAAGATGCAGAAGCTGTCTCTCTCTTTAGAGAAAATGATAATTACAATGTCTTACCGTAAGTAATCTGCATTTCCTAACTCAGGGTTTTAGGAAATGCAAATAGACCACCTCTTACACCTCAAACTTAGTGGGATTTGGGTGACTGCCCCTTTCCACTGAAACGGATGGGCGTGGCTTATGGGGTGGGGCTGGTCCTGAGCACCTCACAGCCTCAGGTGGGCTCCTTGCTTCACATGTGCTCTGTCTCCCATCTCTGTCCGTCTGTCTGTCTCTGTTTTTCTGTCTGTCTCTGTCTCTCTCTTTGTCTCTGCTCTGTCTGTCTCTGAATGTCTCTCTGCCTCCCCTCTCTGTCTCTGTTTCTCTGTCTTTCTGTCTCTCTGTCTCTCTGTGTATCTCTGTCTGTCTCTGTGCATCTCTGTCTCTCTGTCTTTCTGTCTGTCCCTCTGTCTGTCTGTCTCTATGTCTCTCTCCTGCATGATGCTGTTTTCAGAGGAGGTCTATCAAACCCCCCAGAGCTTTGCGGGAGGAATGAGGCAAGGGGGGAAACCTCCACAAAACTGGAAGCAACAAGTCAGTGGACGCACGTCCTAATTTCACTACACTGAAGCACCAGCATCTCCCAGGAACTGGGCGGCCCCCAGGGGCACACCTCTGTGGCTGGAAAGTTAGAACACATTTGGGGCAAAGTGAAAAAACCAGGCCTTAAAACTCTATAGAGACAGAATTCAATCAAACATTCTTATGGGCTTGCTTTGCTCATTTTTAAGTAAAAGAACAATGTTTTGCACAACTGTGAGAAAGCAACGATCTGTCTTCACTTGCCTTTTGGCTAAAATAAGCACAGATCATTTTAGCAAGTCAGCTTATTCTCAGGACACATTAGTGCGTGCTGCTTGAGCTCCAGCAAGTTAGAACACTGCATCCCTGCCGTGGCCCCAGGCCCCACTGAGGGGAGACCCCACTGCCTCCAGCTGCCGTCTCCTGGCTGGAGCCTTCATCCAGACTTCGGGGACGCGACCACCTTCCCCAGCTCCCTCTGACACGCTGGGATGTCCATGCTGCACCTTCCTGGCCGGTGCACCCGGGCCTTCCCTCCCGGGACCCCGGTCAGGGGCGCGAGGCCTGGCCCGGACTCCCTGTGGGGTCTGGCCCAGCTTTGGTCCTCCTTCCCTCCACTCTGTCTCAGGGTCAGCTTTGGGTTACTCTGTTAACAGTGCCCGCAGAGCTTCACGGGAGAAGTATGGTACCTTTTAAGGAATGAAGTATCTTAAATTTGAGAAGTTCCTGTTTTTCTCGTACTGATGAGGGAACAAGTGGATGAGGGTCCCTGAGCTTCTGAACCCCATTCCTACTTTTCCCCCGGCTTGGACTTTGAGACGGAACAGGCTGTTCTGAGCTCTCTCTACCTCCATAAATATTACTGAGACTAACGTGCCAAATAAACCTATTCAATACACACAGTACTCAGAGGGCCAAACACCGCCGTGCAGTACTCTGTCATGGCCACAGTCCTCGGGCGCTGGGGGGCTCTGTTGGTGAAGCGTCTGCCTTCGGCTCAGGTCATGATCCCAGGGTTGTGGGATCGAGTCTCGCGTCGGGCTCCCTGCTCAGCGGGGAGTCTGCTTCTTTCTCTGCCTCTGCCTAACGTTCATCCTGCTTGTGCTCTCTCTCTAACAAATAAATAAAATCTTAAAAAAAATAATCACAGCTCTCAGTTTCCTACTTTTCCCCTCCTTTCTTTCCTTTAATGAATTGCTAATGCTCCATAAATCAGAGAAAACAACTCAGGGCAGGGGATACATCCATCAGTGACCAAAGGTGCGTGGAGATCCCATTTATCCTGTAGTACAAAGCCTTACCAAGTATCTTCTGAGACCCGCCTTCATGCTCACTGCTCCGCCGGCGTGACTGCGGACTGGACAGGTCAGAGTGGAATTGTCCACCAAGGGCAGGGGTGCGGGCAGACAGGCCCCTGGAAGACACAACTGGTTCTGCGGTGGGGTGTCAGGGCATCAGGAGGAACCAAGGCAAGGATGGGGACCCTGGAGCAGGCGAGGGGGAGCACAGGCAGCCGTGGAGGGGCTGCTGGGCCATTTCAGGGGCTCCTTCACGTGGCCCTATGCTCGGATGCACCTGCAGTGCTGGGTGAGGGCAGGCCCCTGACTTCTGGGTCCACTTGGTGCTGGGGTGACGCATGCACGGGTGGAGTGCTGCTAGGCATGTCACAGAAATCAGCAGCTGCCCCGGGGCCCGGGTGTTGATTGAGAAGACGGTAAGCTAGTTCAAGGAAGGACGCAAGAAGGGGTTAGCCCGCCCCCAGTCCTCTCCGTGGACTTCTGACTCTCTGGAGTAACTTCCAGGGTGGCAGTAAGACACAGAGTATACAGGAGGGGACTCGCAAGCGAATTTACAAATGGAAGGGCAAATATTGCCGGTCAAACAGAATTCCTGCACATCCCACTGCAGATATTGACAGTTTTATGCACCACTTAGTGTAGCTGGCTTGGAGAGGATCGGTTCTCGAGATCCCCAACTGCCCAGGGCTCAGATTCTTCAGGGATTCCCACCGTGGCCTCGGGCAGACTTCTGTTTTCGGCGGCTCTGCAGGACACCTCTTTACGTTTGTCTGGCTTCTTTTTTTTTCTCCCCCAAGTTTTTGCGAGTCGATCAAGATAAAGACAAGGACTGCAGCTTGGATTGTGGGGGCTCCTCGCAGAAGCCCCTCTGCGCGTCGGATGGCAGGACCTTCCTGTCTCGCTGCGAGTTCCAGCGCGCCAAATGCAAAGACCCTCAGCTAGAAATTGCTTATCGAGGAAACTGCAGAGGTAAGCTGGGTGCCATCACAGCCGTTAACATGGAAGGCCACGTATGTTATTTTCATCTTTGCTAATTTTTATATGTAAAAGCTCAAGGGTTTTAGGTTTGTGGTTTTTTTTTTTCCAGAATGTATAAGGAAGAAGAGTAATTTCTATGAGTCTCAGGAGCAGAGGCATCTTTTAAAGTTGTTTAATGCTCTTTCCTTGGGATATTTTATCAGGACATATGTTTATCTGAGTCTTCAGAAGGATTCTCACCAGAGTCAGTACCGCTGCCTTCCACCCCGTCTTGTTTCTCTGCAAATGGGATGTGCACACAGCACCTGCACCGACTGTCAGTGATTTTCCTTCCCATTGATTTTACACGTGTAATTTCTGATGATCCTGATTTAAGAATCAGATTTAGATTTAACTAACATGCTTAGAGCAAAACATTGAAATACTTCCTATGTTAATGAAGGGTTTGACTCAACAAAGCACGCTGATGTTTCAAGCATGAACAGTCGCGTTCAGAAAGATATTTACCTTCTTTTTCCTGTTATCTTAAGAGAAAAACCACACAAAGTAAAATCACCTTTGAGAGGAGGTTCCTCTCTGTCTCGCTGCTGGCCCAGCAATCCCGCAGCAAGGCGAAACTCTGTCGGCCATAGTGGTCCGTGTCTCAGCTCCAAACTGGCCACGTTCTGAATAAGCTGCCCTTCCTTCCTTCATAATACGATATACCCAAGGTGAACACGTTTGAGTCACTTCTGCACGTGACTGAGTCGGCACCTTGCCTGCTCCTGCTGACCCCCCAGGGGAGCTCTGCCGGCAGACCCAGGCTCCCCACAGTGACCAGCACCTGCACCCATGCTGGGGCTGTGGACTCACCCAGGACAGGTCCGTGTCCACAGGCACCACACGTGGGTACCTGTGTGTTGCCCATAACCGATGGTCACACATTCACGAAAGCTTTCTTTCCACCATCGTGGCTGGTTCAGAGTCTAGGTATTTTAGACCCTTAGCATTTAAAGGCCACAGAGAGGCCCGAACATGAGCTGATGTGAGTGGGATGCCCTCCGGCTGGGGGATGCTGGGAAGGCCCTCTCGGTGAGGGGGCAGCAGAGCACTGCACACCGAGTCCCTTTCATATCCTGTGGTCAGAGGCAGCTCCCCGAGTGGGAATCACACAGAAGGAGTGTTTCCTCCTTTTCGTTAAGGGGGCCATGACCTCAGCGCTGAGGCCGAGAAGAGACACCAGGAGGGGTGGGAGACAAGGGGTTGATCTCACTATGGAGACCTGGAGTATCAGGTGTTGGAGTTCTTCCTTAGCGGGCAATGGGAAGCCATAGGAAGTTGAGGCAGAAGAGGGACAGATGTAAGCTGACTTGTGCTGAGACCGCGTCCCTCGCCGTACCACGCCACCCAGCTCCTTTGTGGCTGCACTGTGCCTTCGCCCCGGTGCGCGGGCTCTGGGCTCCCCCAGGGGCCGGCCGCGACGAGAGTCCTCCTAGACCTGCTCCCAGAGGGATGCCCGAGGTGAAGGAAGCAGCTGTTGCCAGACGGGAAGCGTGGTTTTAATTCAGTTTCAGTAAGTTACTGAGTTTATGAAAATGCAGTGAACAAAGTATTTGATTCATACTTGAAATGGAGGCGCTGCAGTGGGGTGTCATACCAGAGTCCAGAGACACCAGGGATCTGACACCGCAGCCCACCGGGCACACAGGAAGGCACTTTTTCCAACTCTGGCCAAGCAGAAAACAGTGCATTCAAAGTAAAGAGCTGTAATTTTTGTTCAACAAAACCCATACGATTCACAAATTAAATTATACTTTTGTAGGGAGAAATAGTTTTTAAAATGTTAAACACAGATATGAAATATCCTTCTATAGAAAAATTCAATAAAAGTTGAGATAATTCGAATTAGTAGCCTTTGAAATTATTTCACTGAATGATATACACTTGTATATACCATCCACAATAGAAACTATCTTGAATGGTCACATGGAGAGGCAGCAAAAGCTGGATTCTTGGTGTAGCCAGGTTCGCTCTGCCTTTCTTTGTGGGATGGAAGAAAGCAGAACATACCTTTAAAACAAGATTTTTGTAAATGAAAAATGATTTTTTTCTCCTTAAATATCCATTCCCACTTGTAGAAAACAGTAGAATATAATTTATCAAATCCCATCCACCTGGGTCTCCAGCGTTTTGAACCCTATTTTGTCCTTGTACCTATTTTCTCGGCGGCCGTTAGGTTTCTGTAAACTGTATGCTGTTTCTGATTCCTTCGGAGAAAACTTGAGTGAAAAACCTCAGATACACCTGATGGAGATACAGACACACACGAAATCTTCGTTCACTCAAGCAAACAATCGATACTCTTGAGGCAGCTTCATTCTGTGTGATTCTAAAGTTAAATCATTGCTTAGCACCAGCCTGAGATTTTCCAATAGATTCTGAAGTTACTCAGTGTGGGCGCGCCTCAGAGACACAGTGGGCTGGACTCCCCACCACCGCAGCGCAGTGAGTATCCCAATAAAATGAGGCCAATCAATGTTTTGGTATATCCCAGTGCACACATGAGGTCTGTCTACACTATCCTGCAGTCTACTAAGTGTGTAAAAGCATTTTGTCTAAGTAAACAACATGCATACCTTACTTACAAAATACTTTATTGCTAAAAAATGACAACCCTTATCTGAGCTTTCAGTAATTTGTAATCACTGAGCACAGATCACCAAACAAATAAAATAATAATGAAAAGGTTTGAAATATTGTGAGAAGCACGGAAATGTGACTCAGAGACAGGAAGTGAACAAATGCTGTTGGAAACATGGTGCTGGCTGACTTCCCGATGCTGGTTTGCCACTAGCCTTCGGTTGGCAGAGTATCTGCCTGATAAAAGGGAAATGAGGTATGCCTGCAGTAGTACATTTGGTAAACTAACGTTCCTTGTTATGAATGGCTCCCTGGATGAGCATGAGTGGACTTCACCTGTTACATGACCTCCAGGCTCTCTCCCTGCCTTTGATTGACTTCTAGTTCCTAGGCACTCAGGGACTCTGTAAGAACCTTCAGTTCACGATGACATCATCTAGATTGTGGATGGCCTCCTCCATGCTCTAAAATCGCCCGTGTGAGACTCTCCAGAACCCCAGATGTTCCCACCCCCTGGCTCTCCTCCGACGATCTCTCACTTGGGTTTCAGGAACCTGCAGTGACCAGACAGCTTGCACCTCATGAGACAAAGTGACACAAGAGGTCCCCTGGGCCCAGAGGGCAGCTCCATCATGGGGGCCATGAAAACAGGACCCCCCAAAGCCTCCAAAACTGCACCCCCTAAGACTAGAAATTTGTTTACTGTGTCCTCAACAAAGACTGAGTTAGCCCAGATATCTGGAGATGAAATATTCTTTGAAGAAGCAATATTTAAACCGAAGGACTTCTCTCATCAGAAACCACCATTCCTGATTTGTTCTACTTTGCTTTTCAACACAGACCACTCTTGGAGTTCTCACACATTTTACTAAGAAGGACAGTGTACCTGGACAGTTGTCTGGGGATTAAAATGATTTGTATTTTTCTGGATATGTCTCCTGAGGCAAGGGAAACAAAAGCAAAAATAAACTACTAGGATTTCATCAAAATAAAAAGCTTCTATACAGTGAAGGAAACAATCAATAAAACTAAAAGACAACCTACTGAATGGGAGAAGATATTTGCAAATGACATATCCAATAAGGGATTAGTATCCAAATATGTAAAGAACTTCTGCAACTCAATACCCAAACCCCCAAATAACCCAATTAAAAATAGAAGACATGAGCAGACATTTCTCCAAAAAAGACATCCAGATGGCCAACAGACACATGAACAGATGCTAAACATCAGTGATCATCAGCTAAATACAAATCAAAACCACAATTTGATATCATCTCATGCTGGTCAGAATGGCTAAAATTAACAACACACGAAATGAGAGGTGTTGCCAAGGATGCGAAAAAAGGGAAACCCTCTTGCACTGTTGGTGGGAATGCAAGCTGGTGCATCCACTCTGGAAAACAGTATGGAGATTCCTTAAAAAGTTAAAAATAGAACTACCCTATGACCTAGCAATTACAGTACTAGGTATTTACCCCAAAAATACAAAAACACTAATTTGAAGGGATACATGCACCCCGATGTTTATAACAGCAATGTCCACAATAGTCAAATTATGGAAGCAGCCCAAGTGTCCATCGACTGATGAATGGATAAAGAACTGATATATATTAATATATAAATTGGAATGGAATATTACTCAGACATAAAAATGAATGAAATCTTGTCATTTGCAATGACATGGATGGTTGTAGAGGGTATTATGCTAAGCGAAGTAAGTCAGTCAGAGAAAGACAAATACCACATGATCTCACTGATGTGTGGAATTTAAGAAATTAGACAAATGAGCAAAGTAAAAAATGAGAAAGTCAAACCAAGAAGCAGACTTAACTCTAGAGGACACAGTGCTGGTGACCAGAGGGGGGTGGGGGCAATAGTAGATGAGGATTAGGGTGACTTACCCTGATGAGCACTGAGTAATGTGCAGAATTGGTGAATCATTAGATTGTCCACCTGTAACTGTCTGTTAACTGGCCTGGAATTTAAAGAAATGATTTTCAGTGGGCCTCAGCATGGAAGCAGCAGGATCACGGCTTCAAAGTGGCATCCAAGAAGAAGCTTCCATGTAAGGACTTCTCTTCCTTTCTATTCTGTGTCTAGTTTGTGTGTCCTTATTCTAAACACATCAATCTGAGAAAAATTCGGATGCCTTGATTATAGTTTTGCACCTCAGTTATCTGTGCTGAGACTAGAGAAGTGATTTAAGAATAAATTCAAATATCAGATGTTCTAGTCTTCAGAGAAGGTTCTAGAAGCAATCACCCAGGCTGGCATCGCTTGTGGCAACGTGCTGTGGAGGTGGTGGTAACATTTGAGTTAATGTTCCTTTCTCCGCTATGTTCCTTTAGACGACCGCAATGAGCTGTTGT